CTCAGGTCCTCCTGAGTCTAGGGCCGGTGCTCTATCCACTGTACCACCTAGCTGCCCCTGGGCAACATAATTTAAGAAGGACATTGATAGGCTGGAAAGTGTCCAGAGGAAAAATTGTGAAGGGTCTTCATGTCATATAAAGATTAGTCAAAAGAATTAGGTATTTTCAGCCAAGAAGCAAAGAGAAGAGAGAAGAGAAAAAAAAGAGAAGAGAAGAGAAGAAGAGAAGAGAAGAGAAGAAAAAATTAATTGGGTATTAGGGGGAGCAGAAATGGGGAAAACATGATGACCACATTCAAATATTTGAAGTGCAGAGGAAGGATTAGTCTTGCTCTGTTTGGTCCCAGAGGACAGAACCAGGAACAATGTATGAAACTGGCAAGAGGAAAGTTTAGGCAAGATGCCAGGAAGGTCTTCCTAAGAATTAGTAATATCCAAAAGTAGAATGAACCGCCTTAAGAGGTGGTGGGTTCCTCCTCCTTGGAGCTCTTTAAAGAGAAGTTTTTATTCAAGCTCTTGTCAAGTATATTATAGTTGGGATTCTTTCTGTGTGTATGGGTCAGACTAAGTGTCCACTGAGGTACCTTCCAACTCTCAGGTTCTGTGATTTTCATAATTCCTCCCACGAATTCTTCACATGGGGAGGTAGGTGAGGTCTTTCTTTCCTTCCTTTCCTTTCCACTACCTTTCCACAATTTCTCTAAATAACTCATCTTTTTCACTCATGCATTTCTTTGATGACTTCTTTTACTCCATTTCTTCATAACTTCCTATACTGCACCCTATTCAAACTCACCTTCCCATTATCCTCTGGGTAATTTCCATTTTTCTTTGGAGTCTAAAATGTCCCATGCATTCTAGCCATTCAACAACTAGAATACTAATATTAGAAATATCAACCTTTGTTTCAGGGAGAAGCTTGGGAGTCACGAAAATAAATTTCTAATTTCCCAGAGGTGATCTAGCCCACTCCTCCTCTTCTGTTCACCTCTGTGCCCAGCTCATTGTCCATTTGCAATGACTGCCTAAGATACATATGTATGTGAATGTGTGCATATGTATATTATATATGTATGTACTTACAAATTTGATTTATACAGAGAAAAGCTCTAAAGGTTATCCATACAGCTGCTGAATATCATTGTCTGGGCAATATTCTTCTTCTTCCCCATGATTTTTCCTTTGTGAATAGTTAGGCCAAACTTTTTTAAATGGTTATGGAACTTACGGATCTCCTCCCAAATGATAATGGATCATGTGCAGGATCCTGGGTAATGGGTCAATTAGCACAATGTCATTCACAAATAAAAGCAAGATATGAATGAAAAATCCCTCACTTCTCTGTCCCACTCACTGCTCTCTCTTAGGTGTTCCTTAGCACTAGACACGGGTCATGGATATTACACCGCGTTTGGGACAATGGGTACCCCATGGACACTTCATTCTTCACTCGGTTCAACAATTTGCTCCAGAAAATAGCAAGTTTCAGAATAACTAACAATCAGCTGGAAAAGAAATTGAATTCAAGGTTTAACCATGCCCACTATGGCCTACAACCTCAGCACAGGTACTCAGGGTTTGTGTATATATGCATATGGATGTGGGTAATTATGTTTGTACCCATGTGTTCCCTTGCTTCTTGTTTCCTTTCCTCCCTTCTTTCTTAGCTTACATCTCTGATTTTCCTTCCTTCTCTTCCAAATGAGTCAGAAGTTTTTAGCCAGGGAGATGATGCTCAGGAAACCTAGGACATTCCCTTCACAAATGCTCACATTTAAGGGTCAGAAGTCAGATTAGTCAAGAAAAGAGAGAGGGAAAAAGCAACCAACTTCCCATCTAATGTCTGTAGGTAATCTGTGATAATGGGGGGGGGGGGCAAATTATGAAACGAACATCTTCAGATCAATTTCTCAAAAAGCCAAAGTTTCTTCAAAAATATTTCTAAATTATAACTTTCTTCACCTTTTGATTGTTTGAAACTAAAATAAGGCCGAGTTAGGAAGACAACAAGAACTTTGGACGGTACGGTATGATATTACATCACATTAAATTAATTTTATGTGACTGGACATGCCTTATTCAATTTATACACACATAGGAAAGCTATACAGAGACACACACATTCTAGTTGACTAAAAGTGGTGGCGGATCATTTCTGCAAAAAGTTGGACATCTAGCATTTGGTCAGCTACATAATTTAACCTGTGATAGAACAAAATTTATTACATTGTTTCTATGGGAAAATCCAATTTAACAACATCGTTGCTATTCAGAGAACCACAGAATGTTAGAATTGGAAGAGAATTCAGTTGCCATCTAGTACAACCACACCCAAAACAAAATTACCATGACAACACATTCAACAAATGGTCATCCAGCCTTTTCTTGAAGGGCTGCAATGAAGGGGAACCTATAGCCTGCCCCATTGTTTTATGTCTCTAATTGTTAGGAAAATTTCCTTTAAATTAAGACTAAATCTGCCCCTTTACAGCTCTCACCCTAGTTCCATCCTCTTGGGCCAAACAGAGCGCCTCTAATCACACTTTTACATAAGAGTTCTTGCAAGTACTTACAGACAGCTTTCATGTCCCTCTTGAAGCTTTTCTTCTCCTCACCTCCTTCAAACATTCTTTGTATGGAATGAACTCAAGAGTTGTCCATCTCTAAAAGTTCTCCAGGTCGCTTACTAAATTGTGGTGCCCAGAACTAAACAAAACATTATGGATGTGGACTGACCAAGGTAGAATATGATGAGAATGACATATTCCTTGGAGCTATGCCTCTCAACATAACCCAAGATAACATAAAATTTTTGATTGCCATGTCACATTCTTGACTCATTGTTGGAAGTCCATTAAGAGCCTTTTTAGGCAAACTGGAGTCTAAACCACCTCCTCCATCTTGTATTTGTAAAGTTGGTTTCTTGAACTCAAGAGTAAGACTTTACATGAACCCCTATTAAATTTTATCTTCCCTGATTCAGCCCATTATTGGTACCTGTCAAGATCTCCTTGTGTCTTGACCTTGTCATCCCAAAGTGTTATCAATCTTTCATAGTTTTGTGTCATCTGCAAATTTTGTAAGAATTCTGTCTAATATGGAAATGTTTTACGTGATTACACGTGTATAACCTATATCAGATTGTTTACCATCTCAGGAAGGGAGGAGAGGAAGGAAGGACAGAATTTGGAACTCAAAATTTGTTTGTAAAAAGGTCAAAAATTGTTTTAACATGTAATTGAGAGAAAATTATGATTAAAAAAAAGAAATCTGCCTATTCATTGCTCACATACGTTTAGAGGTAGGAGGTGGATCTCTTAAAGCTCTTTGAGTCCACTCGCCTCATTTTATAGATGAGGAAACTGAGACTCAGTGACGTTAAGTGACTTCCCTCAGATCACACAGCTAGCAAGTGTTTAAGGCAGAATTTAAACTCAGGTCATCTTGACTCCAAGTCCACTGTTCTATCCTAAGTATATCCCACTGGCTCTTGATTGCTTTAACTGTATCATTGATTACAATGTCAAATAGTAAAGGGCCAATAGGCCCAATTCCCTGTGGCATATTACTAAGGCAATCTTTCTAAGTTAATGTAGATCTATTAACGACTATGCTTTGAATCTGACCACTCAACCATTTCAGAATCCATTCAATTGCACTATTGTCTATCTCACAAGAATAACATGAGATAATTAACAAAAGTTTTTCCAGAAACACAAACCTCTGTAGGTGTGCTGTCTAGATATTTATTGCACATATACCTACATATATGCAAAACACTACACAAATGTATACATGTGCATATGTGTGTACATACATATGGCAGCCAGATTACACAGTAGATAACATGTTGGACCTGTACTCGGGAAAACCTGAGTTCAAATGTGACCTCAGAAACTCACTAGCTGTGTGATCTTAGCCAAGTTACCTCACCTAAGTCTGGCTCAGTTTCTTCATCTGTGAAGTGGGAATAAAATAGAACCTACTTCCCAGGGTTGTAATGAAGATAAAATGAGAAAATGTTTATAAAGCATTCTGCAAACTTTGAAGTATTATATAAATGCTAGGTGTTGTTATTATATTGTTTTTTTCTTGGTTGGTTGTTAAATAGAAGAAAAGTATGGATAAACATTTAATATCAAAGGATAAAATTAGTTTCTTGACATATTCAAGGGAAGACTTGAGTGATGATACAAGGTAGCCATTACATTCTTTCAAAATTTATGTTTAAAAAGAAGAAACAACACAAATGAAATCAAATATGTGACCAAACTGCTTTCATATCTGATTTTGTTAAAGCTGGGTTTGTGTAATTTGGAAATTGTTGGCGTGTGGCCGATGATAGGTATAATAATAATGTGTTAGGAGGGCATAGGAAGGGATACAAACTATAGTTTAGGGAAGAGTAAAGCCAACTTGTCAATTTCCTAGGTTTTCCACATACCTTAAACATTGCCTTACTTTTTCTAACCTTTATTTCATCTGCAGACTTTTAAGCCAGCATCCAACTGTCAGTGATGACCTGCCAAATCACATAATTTCTGGTAAAGTCTTGGTGAAACCAAACGTAAAGGAATTCACCAAGACAGCTGCCATTTTTGAGGATGGCACTATAGAAGAGGACATTGATGTGGTTATCTTTGCTACAGGATACAATATCAGTTTTCCTTTTCTTGAAGACCTTATCAAAGTCACCAATAATGAAGTGTCTCTCTATAAGCTGATGTTCCCTCCTGACCTGGAGCAGCCAACACTGGCTGTCATTGGCCTCATCCAGCCCCTGGGCATTGTCCTACCCATTGCAGAGCTCCAGAGTCGCTGGGCTACACGAGTGTTCAAAGGTGTGTGGATGAAACTTGGGGAAAGTCCTGTTCTATATATCATATTAAATTCCCAGGCTCTCCTGGGAGCACTTTGTCCTCTTCAATAAGGCATATTCCAGCACCTCCTTGGCCACCTACTAAAATCAGGGTTTTATTTCCTAGGGCTGAACAAATTACCTTCAGTGAAGAACATGATGACTGACATCACACAGAGGAAAACAGATATGGCAAAACGGTAGGAAACTTCATCCTAAGAAATGAAAACAAACAGTTAGATGTGGTAATGGGTTTCCCAGCATCGACTCTTAAACTACATACTCATCTCTACACATTCCTTATAATAATGACAGCTAGCATTCATATAGCACTTTAAGGTTTAAAAGCACTTTACAGATTTTCATTTTAACTTCACAGAAACCCTGGGAGGTATATGTCATTGTCACCCCCATTTCATAGATGAGAAAACGGAGGCAGACAGAGGCCAAAGGATTTGTGCAGGGTCACATAGCTAGTGTCTGTGGCAAACTCAGGTCCTTCTTGCCATAGTTCTCCAACTCAGTCCATTGTACCACCCAGCTGCCATGTTGCTTTTTCACATTTCCTTTTGTCTAAGGATTAGACTCTACAAGGAATTATGTAGTTTTTTCTTTTTTTTTTCTTTTTCGTTTTTGGGGTTTTTTAGGCAATTGGGGTTAAGTGACTTACCCAGGGTCACACAGCTAGTAAGTGTCAAGTGTTTGGTCTGAGGCCGAATTTGAACTCAGGTCCTCCTGACTTCAGGGCTGGTGCTCTATCCACTGCGCCACCTAGCTGCCCCTGTAGTTTTTTCCTAAAGCTACTGTTGGATTCCTAACTTCTAAAAGTATATTATTACAATGATTTCTGACAGTTGTTGTTTGTTGTGGTTCGACCATTTTCAGTCATGTCCAACTCTGTGATTCCATTTGGGGTTTTCTTGGCAAAGATGCTGGAGTGCCTTATCATTTCCTTCTCCAGCTCATTTTCCAGATGAAAAAGCAGGGCAAACAGGGGTAAGTGACTTGCCCACGGTCACACAGCTAGTAAGTGTCTGAGGATGGATTTGAGAAAAGAAGTCCAAGTCATACTAAGTGATTATTATTAATAGAATTATACTCTCCACTCCCCAAAAGATGGAGAGAGATGAACAGAAGTAAAACCCTTGGGGGCAGAATGCTATGAGCAAACCTTTTGTTGTCATTTTGTAGTCTTTGTTTTCTCTTTTAACATTCCAGCCAAAAGGCTTGAGGTTCTTTCTTGAATTCTTGGTTTTGATAATATGTTCCTCCTCAGTCATTGAATGATAGAGCTGAGTATAACTGTTGAGGTACCTTTATTAAGTATAGTTCTTTGGAAGGAGAGAAGGGGAAATTATGTGGACATAATCCTGGACATGAGCTCAATCAGTCTAGTCTGGTGCCGTTATTTAAGTTTAGGTGTCTTCTTAAACAATTTAAGAGTCTTGTTCTTTTCAATTGCCCCTAGTGAGATACCGACCAACTGAGAACTCCATCAAGTTTCTCCAATCTTCCGAGATCAAATAGGCCCTCCACCCTAGATTCATAGACTCATAAAGTTGAAAGCTACCTCAAAGACCACATCGTCAGGATTCCTTAAGAGAGAACTTTGCAGAACAGCAGAATTTCTAAGTCAATAGTGATCTCACTTGGACATTTAGTCCAACCCCTTCCTGAAAAAGCATTCCTTCTACCTCCCACCAAAATAGTCATCAAGTATTTACTTGAAGACGTAAAATGAGGTGGAACTCACTCCCTCACAAAGAAGCCCATTTCATTTTTCCCTGGCTATTACTATGAGAATGCCTTTCTTTGCACCAAGCCTAAATCTTTTTCGCACATTCTAACCACTGCTTCTAATTCTGTTCTCTAGGGCCAAGCAGAACAATCCCCCCTCCCACATGATACCCTTAACAATGATTCAAGACATCTTCTGTTTATATTCCCCCATCCCTATCCCCAAATCTCTTCTTTTCCAGACTAGACATCCATTGGCTAAACACTTAGTTTTCCTTGATGAGTTCAGGTCACCAGACTGAGGAAAACTATGTCCCATGGTACAGAAAGAATTGGAAAGTAAGAGTGCTCAGCAAATGTCAGTGACTTTTGAAACACTATGGAAAACAAAAAAGGAGTCACAACATGGAAGAAAGAGCAGAGTGTGAAACTAAAGGCCAGTGAGCTTGCTTTAAATTCCAGGCAAAATTCTTGAACATATAACCAAAGAGATGGTCAGTGAATATCTAGAAAGGCAAGTAGCAATTGCAAAGAGCCAGTGTGATTTCATCAAGAACAGTCATACCAGACCAACCTCAGTGCATTTTTGACAGTTATTAGACCAGTAAAACAGGAAAATCTTACAGATAAAGTTTACCTAGAATTAAACTAAACATTGACAAAGTCTCTCATGTGATCTTGGTGGATGAGATGGAGAGATATGAGCTATATAGGTGTTCATGCAGGTGGATTTGGAAAAAAATTGAAAACAAATTGTCATTAATGGCTTGATGTCAACTTGAAGAGAAGTTTCTATTGGAGTTGCCTAAGGATCAGCACGTAGCCCTGTGCTGGTGAACAATTTTAATCAATTTGTTTATCAAAAAAAAGCATTTTATTAAATATCTGGTCCAGGGACCATGAATTTTTTTCTAAGGGGTGGCCCGGAGATGTAATTACAGTAGTATAGGGAGCTAAAGGCAGGAAAGGAAAGAATGACTGGGATTTCCTCTAAAAGTACACATCATCACCTTCTATGCAACTTACCATTTTATTGAGTTACTGAAAGATTAAATGGCTTGCCCAGGGTCATTACAACCATTATTTTTTCAGAGGCAGACCTTAAACCCTAAATCCAAGACCAACTCTGCCCACTACAACGGTGCCTCTCAAGGGTCTCAGGAAGTCCCAAGACATTTTGATGAGGTCAAAACTATTTTCATAATAATGCTGATGTTTTCATTTCTAATTTGGCAAATGTGAATAGATATGACCCACTTTAACAAAAATTCTTGAGGGGAAGGGACCCTAAAGCTTAAAACTTCACTAAGACTGAAATACCCTGTATTATTTTTCTTAGGTAGACAAAAGCTGTTTGTTCTCTTTCCCTTCCCATTTGTCTCCTAGTTTATATTTCTTCGTTTTGATGGGGGTGGAGTAGGATTGATTAATTGTAAAGCACACTCATTTTTCAATATTTCAGAAAGTTTATTTTAGAACCTTTGACCTCGACCAAAGTTCTCTTCTGCTACCTTATTGTGTCATGGAGGTTACCATGGTTCCCCAAAGACTATATCAGCAGAGCCCAAATTCAAACAGGTAACACCGAACTTGAAAGCCTTCAAGTACAGTCCTGGGGACACAGGCCTGCTGCCCAAGCACAAGTGTAGCTAAACGGGGGAGGGTTTTCACCACCTTGTCCACAGCGTGATAAATTCTTGATTTTCTGCAATTCACAAAGCCTGTCTACTAAATGGTAAAGGGTTGTGATCTGCCTTAGTAAAGGGAACACATGCCATTTCAATGACAGATCCTTGGGATCATTGCAGCACTCATTCTATATTTTATGCCCATTTCATACTTGGACCTTCTCTTGACGATCTTTTTTTCTCCCTCTCTGTCTCTCTATTTCTCTCGCTGTCTCTCTCTTTCCCTCTCTCTCCCTTTTTCCCTGTCCTTATCTCCCTTTCTATCTCCTTTCTTTTTCTCTGTTTCTTTCTCTTTATCTCCCTCATTGTCTCTCTCCGTCCTCTTTCTCCCTCCCTCTTTTTTTCCATCCCTCTATTTCTCTCCCTCTCTGTCTCTGTCTATGTAATAAGCATTAACTACGTGCAAGGTACTGGGGGAAACATTCATCCTTTGTTTTCAAAGAAGACCAATGACATCACAATTTTGGAGTCAGGGTATGGTGAGCCCTGCTGTGGCTGATCAAACAAACATGAGTTCTGCCATGGATTGGGCAGAAATTATTAAGACATTTAGAGTGGAAGTGACTTTGGATCTGTGCAGCTCACATTTTCTTTGTGCTTCTACAATTCTGCTTTGCTCAAGGAGTACAGTGCCTTCTTTGATTCAGGTATGCCATGCTGGATGGTCCTATGCCAGCATTTCCCATATCTCACAATCAATACCAAAGTTCTTTAGAGAGACCTTGAGAGCATCCTTATGCCATTTCTTCTGACCACCAAGGTGAGTTAGTACTCACCTTGTATGAATTTTCTATAAAATAGTCTTTTAGGTAAGCATCCATTTTGCACTTGAACTATGTGGCCATCCCACTGGAGTTGTGCTCTCAGCAATAGAGTTTGAATGCTTGGTAGTTCAGCTCTAGAGAGGACCTCAGTGTCTTGCCAGGGAAGCTTCAGAATGTGGGAAATACAATACCCTCTAAAATATACTACCTGTCCTCAAGGTAGTTGAGGACAATTGAGTTACATATTTTTATATGTGCAGTATTTTGTTTGCATATCTGTATGTTACAGCTATGTAACCTTGGGCTAGATACTTCTTGTCTCTGAGCCACAGTGTCTTCATGTTTAAAACAAAGATTCTTTCCAGTTATAACATTCTTTTAGTCTGTTACATGTAAGTACCTACAGGAACTGTGATTTCATTAACATGGGTAATTCTTCATGTGTAAACTCCTTCTGTTCATGCAACGTGCAGATTGCAACCCATCTGTGACTTGGTTTATAGACCTAGGGAGCTGGCTTCCATATATAGAGGTTGAGGGACTTGCCCAGGCTCACACAATGCTTCTATGTTCAAACACGATATTCCATCTCCATACCTTTGTACTGGCCATCCCCAAACCCTAGAATGCTCTGCCTCCTCAGCTCCATCTCTTCCTCTCTCTGCCTTCCTGCAGGGATTCAGTTCAAATCCCACATTATTCAGGAATCTTTTACTGGTCCACCCAGTGGCTGGTTCCTTCCACTCTCAGATTACCCTCTATGAATTTTACACAGATACTGTATGTACTTAGTTTTTCCAGGTTGCCCCATGCATTAGAACCTAAGATCCCTAATGGCAGGCACTGTTTTTGTCTATCTTTGCATCCCCAACACTTAGCACAGTAAGTGTATAGTAAGTTATATCCCGCACTCTTAGAATGTCCAAATTACACAACGAGTAACAAAATTTATTCCAAAGACAAAAAGATTCTAGGGTAGTTCTTACTCAAACCAAACCCTGTCCCAGAGAAGAACGGGTTGTGATTAGCCCACACTTTTCCTTCTCATTTCAGGTATGTGAAGAGTCCCCGTCACACCATCCAAGTAGATCATATTGAGTACATGGATGAAATTGCCACCCAAATCGGTGTGAAGCCCAACCTTCTCTGGCTCTTCCTCTGGGATCCCAAGCTGGCCTGGAAGGTTTTCTTTGGCCCCTGCACCCCATACCAGTACCGCTTGCGTGGACCCAGGAAATGGGATGGGGCCAGGAGAGCTATCCTGACTCAAACAGAAAGGATACTCAAACCCATGAAAACCCGCACTATCAATAATGAGAGAAATCCATCTTCAGAAATTTCTTGGGTTAAGATGGCACCCGTGAGCTTTGTAATTTTGGCCAGTGTCTTGTCTTACTATTGTTATATCTATCATCCTGAAAGGAAATAAGTTACTGCATTAATGAGCAGTAAAAAACATAAAATGGCTTCGACACTAATTTTTTTTAAAAAATTTTGCAATCGTCCTGTGTCAGTTTCACTTACTAGTATCACAACTGTCATGACATGGTAGATAGAGTTGCTTTATTTTCTGTGATGAATTTTTTCTAGAAAGGGTGTGTGAAAATATAATTTGAGTATGTCAAAGCATAATATCACATTGCAAGGTAATGTTTTCTATTTTACAATATCCTACAGTGAATCTCTTTATCAAATGAGTAATCACACCCTAACCAGTTCTGGCAAGGTATGTTTTCATAATTCTTTTAACTTTTCTATAACCCTTTCTCCCATTCTAATCATTTTGTGATGTTCCTATTTAGAAAGAAAGTTGCCATTTACCAAGTGGGAAATGGGAGGTATGAGAGAAAAATCTTTTAGTCACTTATATTTGTCAGAAAATAGGAAATTGCTTATTTGTTAAAAACATTTTTAAATAGTAAGACCTTTTTAAATAGGCAACTGATTTTTAAAGTTTAAGAATACTTATTTCTAAATCTCAAGCTCTCTTTAATTTTTTAAATTTATTTTTAACATATGGCACATTTTAACATTTTTAGCACATGGCTTTCAGATGAAGTTTTGTGTGTATCCTAAGTTTGGGGGGAGGGCGTGACTTTAGGTATGGCCAAGAAAATCTAGTGTCTTCTAAAAAAAACTCATTCCCCCTTATAACCGATGCCTGAAATTCTACCACGAGAACCTCAAATGAGACCATATTTGTAAAGTGCTTAGCATAGTGCCTGGCACATAGTAGATGCTTAATAAATATTTGTTTGTTCCCTTTCCACCTTTCATTTCTTTAATTTGAATGTTTGCTCTTCATTCCAAGGTATATACCCTTGAAACATTGAACTAATTAAAAGTGTTCTCAGTTACTTACGTCTTAGTGTAAAGAGTTTCAAATCTCCTGAGAATAAACTTGGATAGCGAGAGAGGTTTAGCAAGAAGATGAAATTAGTGTATCTTGTAAAGGGGGAATAAGTTCTCCAGAAACATGTTTTTGAAAGGAAAGAGAGCACAGAGTGGAAGAGCGAGAAGGACAGAGACAAATTTTCTTCTTACTTGGTAATTCTTCCTAGACCAGCCTTGAAAGCTACGTGCAAAAACAAGATGATTTCATATCCAAGCACCTATCTGCTGCACAAGACCTCTTTCAAATGTGGGAATGCTCCATCCCTTTAACCTTTGAATCTGAAACCCCTAACTATAGGATCAGATCTGATCCCAACTTTGGAACCAATCGGGGTATGCTGGAGTCAGTGTCAACTAACTAGGAAGAACCAATTGTTAAATGTTCAGTGTGAACATGTACACTTCAGAAGTGACAAACGTTACAAATCAAGGCTTGCTTTATTGCTTTGTTGACTGTCTGGTCTTAAGAAAGTGATAGAGGCACAGTTTGACTTGAAAATGTGTTCTGTCTCCATTTTTCAACAGAGAAACCATTAACCGTTGGTAAATATTTACCAGCATACTCCTGGAACCAACCATGCTCTTTTTTTAAATAATATTTTATTTTTCCCAATTACATGTAAAAACAATTTTTAATGTTCATTTTTAAAAATTTTTGAGTTCCAAATTCTCTTCCTCCCTCTCCTACAACAAACCGTATCTTGGGCAAGACTCACAGGTTCGTAGAATCATAAGATTTAGAGCTGGAAGGAAGTTTAGATATGACATAGTCCAACTACTTCACTTTACAGATGAGGAAACTGAGACTCATAGAGACTGAATGACTTGTCCAAAGTCACACAAGTTATAAGGAATATGACCAGAATTCAAAACCTAGTACCTCCTACTGTACCTTTAGCCTTCTGCCCCAGTGTATCATGTTCCCTTGAACAGGGAATAGTTTATCATCTTCAGCAACTTCAGTACTCACGTTGATGGTTTTTCTAATACCCTGGTGTCATTGTTCCTTGATTTCGTCAAGTCCTGTGGCTTCCATGTCCACACCACTCTGATCATCTGCAGGCATGATCACACGTTAATTATTACTTGGAACTGTTCTTGCTTTGAGGCAATAGGGGATATTTACATAGAGGCTTTAATGTTTGCTAAGTACATCAGAGGTGTCGACACACTTCCGTGGGCCCCTGGCAAGCAATTCTTCTGAGTGCTGCAGAAGCAAAACAAAATATAATTGGGAAGTATTTAACAAAATAAATTTAAAAAATAAAATCAAACATAGACAATGTTAATATGCAGTTTTCTAAGTCAATATGCAGCCCACAGAGGCCTTAGCATGGTTTAGCAGGTCTCCCATTCCTTTTTTAAGTTTTAAACCACGATTTTGCATCAATTATCTCTTTTGACCCTCACAACAACCCTTGGAGGCGACTTGCCCAGTGTCACATAACTAGTGTTGGAGGCAGAGTTCTGAGGTAGCTATTCCTGACTCTAAGTCCAGCATTCTATCAACAATGCCACCTTGTAAGAACTCTGGAATTGCCCTCTCTGACCACAGTCTCCTGTTGTTCCACCTATGAAATGCCTTTACCCCTCCTGAACCTGTTCATCACAGTACCTGGCACAAGGTAGTCACTTAATAAGTGCTTACCGATTCATTGAAGTGGCTGAAGTGGCCGAAGAAATATACCTTTGGCTAGAGAAGAGGGTGGCCCTGCGCAGTGATGTGAGTCTTCCAGCCCCGTGGTTAGGGGGACGTGCCCCTTGATCTATGCTGAGCTGCTCCTGCCTGGGCATCTGCAGGAAATCACCAAATGCACCCAGGGAATCGTAAATAGTTTGGTTTGGCAAAGTCACAGAGCAGGAGCCAGGAAATGCTGGGGGATAAGGCTTGATTCACCCTCATTAAGATCTCCAGAATTTGGATCCCTCCCAATTCTCCCAGTCCTTTCTTTTGGTTTTACTTCCCACTTCACCCAGTCCTGATCCTACGGCAAGCTTTGCAATCTCCTCCAACTTTGAAACACTTCACCCCCTTAGCATTATTCTAATCCCCAACCCTCTGTAACCCCTCATGACTTACCTTTTCTATTCTGTTTTCAAGCCAGTGAATATTGCTGGTGTGTTTCAGCAATCTTTATTCTTCTCTTACTGACCCTTCCTCTCCCCACCAACTTTATGTCTATAACACTACATTTATCTAAAGGAATAAGGAAGGATTCCGAAGGTATTACAAAAAAGTCTGTCACTGACCTTGTGGCTCAAAGTTATCAGTAATTTCCCTTTGCTGTGCCTAAGGCCATAAGCAGTATAATCGATATCCCAATACACAAAACCTTTCTGAGGGACACTCGGTACCCAGAGCGCTTTCAGTACAATTATAATAAGGAGTCATGTCTATGATCCAGCTGACAAGTCAATGGCCCCATCTCTCTTGTCTGTCCCATCCTCTACCCCTACACTCCTGAAGAATAAATTTGAGACAATAAAAAATGAACCCAACTAGAAGGCTATTGCAATGGTCCAGGCAAGAGGTGATGAGGGCAGTCGTGGCTATATGAGTGAAGAGTAGGGGATTATATATAAGAGATATGTTATGAAGCTAGAAATGACAAGATTTTGTCAAGAATTCAATATGTGGGGTGAGTCAAAGTGTGGGATCAAGGATGACACCAAGGTTACAGTTCTGGGTGACTGGGAGGATGGTGGTGCTCTTGACTGTAACAGGAAAGTTCAGAAAAAGGAAAAGTTTTGGAGAAAAGACAATGAGTTCTGTTACACACATGCTGAGTTTGAGGGCCATATGGGACAACCAGTTCCAGCTATCCAAAAGGCAGTCTGTGGTATAGGACTTTAATTCAGGATAAAGACTAGAGCTAGATACATAAATCTGGGAACCATCTATGTAGAGATGTTAATTGAATGCAGTGGTGAGCAGTGGGGTCAAACTCAACCAGAAACAGGGATCACTAAATCATACACAAAAATTCCTGCAGTTGCACATTGACTTAGAAAACCTCATATAAACATCACCTTTGTTCATTGTATTTTTATTTCTTTTGCTAAATAATTCCCAATTACAATTTCACACAGCCTGTGTTTGATCACTCTGACCTAGAAAGATAGAATAGAGGGAAAAGAGAATAGGGCCCAGGCCAGAGCCTTAGGTTACACCCATAGTTAGTGGACGTGACTCGGTTAAAGATCCAGCAAAGAGACTAAGAAATCAGGCAAGTAGAAAAGGAACCAGGAGAAAGAAGTGCCATGAAAACCAACTGGGGAGGAATTATCCAGGAGGATCAACATTGTCCAATGATGCAAAGAGGTCAAGAAGGATGAGGCCTGAGAAAAGGCCATCAGATGTGGCAATTAAGAGATCAGCAGTAACTTTGGAGAGAGCTGTTTCAGTTGAACAATAAGATAAGGAGCCAGATTACAGAGAGTTGTGCTTTTTCAGGTCGATACCTCACATTCATTCTGGATGATGAAGAAGCTTTTCTTGGGCTGTCCTGGGAACTTAACCAACCTGTCTGATGTTATCAGTGTTGGAATATTTATTTTATGTCACAAACATGCAACTTAAGAAACAGGCTTTTAGAAGACAGTCAGATGATAAACTGGGAACCTCCTAGAGTTGCAGTCATGGAAGACAGGGAGCAGATGAATAAACCAGTTTTGAGTTGTGGTATCTCTGAGTTACGTCCTTAAATCTAGTCGTAGACATTCACCCAAATAGGTTGCTGCTGTTTGTTCTTCATTCTCGAAGAGGACCATGACATCAGGAAGGTGATGCCATGACATGCAAGCAAACTGGATTTAAGAGAGGGAGGGCTGTGCAAAGTCACCAGCCTCACTTTCACCTCCAGAGCCATCTGGGTCCAGTGGCGAGATATAGATCAGGACAACTGGAGATGGCCCAGGCATAGGGCTTATTATTCAAATACTCAACGAACCTATGAAAGTTCTTCCCATTGAAGTGATTGCAACTCACCTTTGCCTACTCATCTGGTGCTGTTGTGCCCCCATAATTTTGCCATAAGAGATCCACCCAATATCCTAGAGGCCTTTCTCAATTTCTTCTGACATCACAAGAGTACTAGGGAAGCTCTCTGGTTTTCTACCTTTCTACTGTCCCTGGAACATTATTCAATTTTAAACCACCCAGGTCAAAAGAGCCTTAATGTTTTCTTTGTGGTGTATAAGTTGAAAGGTATCAACAGCCTATCAACATTACTAAACCCCTCTTGCCATAGTCAATGACTATAGATTGTGTCTTTAAAACTTTGGGAGCACATGTTATCTAGATGCCCAAAGTCTAACAGATATTAATCTTGGGCTACAATAAGCTAAGCAGAAAGCTTAATGAGAATACTATGCTTCATTTTTTTTCTGCTTTTTTGACATTGAAATTTATATAATAGAGAATTCACATCACAGTGAATACAGGTGCTCACTATAACTCTCCTAAATTATAAACAAATGGTTAAAAAATAAGATTGACCACGAAGCAATCCAAATCATGTGTTGAAACTACTAAATTTATCTGACCATTGTTACTCCATTCTAGCTAATTGATTTCAATAAAATTCAACAAAAGTTTTAATTTAACACAACCATGTGTGCTTGCTGATGATATAAAATGTATGCTCCTTTGGCCCAGTAGTAGTCAGTCTTCCTCTTCTCCTTCTTCTCCCTCCCGCTTCTCCATCTCTCTCTCTCACCCTTTGTCTCTATCTGACCTCTCTCTCTCCTCCCTCCCTCCCTCCCTCTCCCTGCCTCCTTCAATCTCTCTCCCTCTCCTTCTCTTTCTCTCTCTCTCTCTCTCCCTCTTCCCCCTCCCCCCGCTTGTTCTCCTCTCTAACCCCCATTTCCAAAAGGAAGGTTACTAATGGAAATACATCAGACAGCTGGCAGAGACCTTAGGGATCATTTAGTCCAGCACACTGTTTACAGATGAAGAAATCCCAAGTATGGAAATGACTTGCCCAAGGTTGAGACAACTCCAGTGGTAAGTAGGGAGAGCCAGGATTCAAAGTCTGAATCCAGATCCATGCCTCTTTGACCTTGACCATCCCACTGACCAACAGAGTCTGAGCTTTCAGAGTTAATAGGAAGAAGCATGTCAGCTTTAGCATGTCATCTTCAGCATATTTAGCACCAGAGATAGAAACCTCTTGCCTGATATAGGAGCTGGTTTACTAAGGAGGAGGAGGAGCATGTTCTCTAAAAAGGAAATATGTATGCCTATGCCACCCTACCCATTGTGCTACTACTTAATACACTTGAGAAGTTCTGTCTTTAATCAAATCAACCAACATGCACTTATTTTTTTATTAATTAATTTTTAGTTTCTCCTCCCTCCCCAAGATGGTGTGCCATCTGCTTTACGCTCTACTTATCATTCCTATTAAATGTATTTTCACATTAGTCACAACCAAGAAGCATTTATTAAATATTTACTATGTACATGCAACTATGCTAAGTGATAGGGATAAAGGCAAAAATTACAAACAAACAAAAAGTCCCTGTCCTTCCATAGCTTATATACTGTATATTAATAAAAGAGCTTGTACACTAATAAAGGAGATGATTTTTTTAAATATATATATATACAAGAAGATATTGACATAAGAAGAAGAAAGTAACCCTAGAGGGGAAGGGCTAGTGGACAACAAAAGGGATCACATGCTATCATGTGACTGTTCATATGCCCTCCCACACCCCCACCCACCCACCTACTACCACCACCACCACCACCACCTGAATCTTCCCAGGGACAAGACCAGAATACACCAACACTTCTTTATGAGAAAATAAGGAAGACTGGGGCTTTTGAGCTGCCAAGGAGAGTACTTGGGGTCAGTTTTTTAAAAGGAAGTACAGGAAGAGGTACAAGAAGGGGAGATTGGAGGGCTCTTGAAATTGGTGGAATTGGCTATGGATGAGCTAATTTTGTTCCAAAGGCGTCTAAAGAACATTCAAATCAATACAACTAGTTCGGGTTGGTCAGAGATCTAACCCTTGGGAACTAGATTCAGCTATTCTCACCCCTACTCCAAACCTAACTCACCTCTCTCCATCTCTTCTACAAGAATACATGATATGCTTTTATCAAATACTTTACTAAAATCTAGTTAAGCTACAGACAACATTCACATGTCCCACCAGTTTAGTAACCCTGACAGCAAAGGAAGTGAGGTTAGTCCAGCATGGCCTGCTTTTAGCCCTTTGAGAAAACATTTCCTTTCCTACGTGCACACAAACCATCTCTTTAACAAGCTGTCTTCAAATCCTTCTAAGAATCAAGGTGAAATTCATTATTCTTTTGTTTTTGGATTGTATTCTCTTCTCCTTTTTGGAGATCAGGACAATATTTGCCATACTCCAGACCTAAGGTATCTCTATTATTTGCCAGAATCTTTCAAATAGGTGGCACAGAAGATAAGAGTGTTGGACTTGGAGTCAAGAAAACCTGAGATCAGATGCTGCCTTAAGCACTTAAAAGAAAGTCACTTAATTTCTCTCAGTCTCAGTTTTCTCATCTGTAAAATGGGAACCTACCTCACAGGGTTGTTACAAAGATTAAATGACAAAACATATATAAAGTGCTTTGCAACCCTTAAAGCACTATATAAAAGTTAATATTATTATTATTATTATTATTATATCTCATTGACAGTGGATGATCAATCAAATCTGTCAGTTCTTTCAATAAAAATTATAGTTTATCTTTGTCAATTGACTTTAATTTATCATTGTTACACACACACACACACACACACACACACACA